TTTGTAAATTTTCCAGAAGGTAACTTGAAAATGGCACCCTTATACATTGGAAAGGATACTGTCCTAAAGTGGCTTCTAAGGCTCAATCCTGGTAAGTCCAGTGGCCCTGATGAACTCCACCCACGTATATTAACAGCATTGGCTGAAAGCATAGTCGAGCCATTGTCGGTAATCTTCAATATGTCTCTGGACCAGTCTAAATGTCCAAGAGACTGGAAAGATGCCATCATTAGTCCGGTCTTCAAAACCGGATCTAGAAACTTAGTTCAGAACTATCGTCCTGTTAGTTTGACCAGTATTGTTGTTAAACTACTAGAAAGAACAATTCGTGATGCTATCATTCAGTTCATTGAAGGAAACAAACTTTTCGCTGTGGAACAGCACGGTTTTAGAGCAGGTCATTCTTGCTTGACCAACCTTCTTTTGGCCAGAGAAAGTTGGGCAAGCTCATCTGATGCTAATATACCGGTGGATGCCATATTCATAGACCTTAGCAAGGCGTTTGACAGGGTTTCTCATTCAGGTCTTCTAGTAAAGTTAGGTAGTCTGGGAATCAATAAAGTGGTTACCGACTGGATTCAAGACTTTCTAAAGGACAGAAGACAAAGAGTACGAGTTAACGGGGTTTTATCAACATGGGAATCGGTTAAGAGTGGCGTTCCTCAGGGTACAATTCTAGGCCCACTTCTTTTCCTGATTTATGTTAATGAGATTCCATCGGTAGTTAAGCCATCCTGCTTACTGTTTGCTGATGACATCAAGATATGGAGGGCTTTGCACGATGACAGTGATCAACTTGCTTTGCAGGAAGATTTAAACTTGTTAAGTGATTGGTGTAAGCACTGGGCCTTGGAGATTACCTTAAGCAAGAGTGTAGTTATGCATGTATCTCATAGTCACGTGCACAATTACTCAATGAATGGTATTACTCTCCCAGTGGTCACTGAGTACAATGACTTGGGAGTGGTTGTGCAGCATGACTCGAAAACAGTAACAAACTGTAGAACTGCAGCCACTAAGGGTTTTCGAATCTTATGGGCCATACGCAAGGCTTTTGAGAACTTTGACGCTGATATATTTCGTATATTATATCCGACTTATATCAGACCTCATTTGGAATATGGGATCCAGGCAGCGAGCCCGTGTTTCAAATACGAAATAGACTTATTAGAAAGGGTGCAAAGAGTAGGAACCAAGCTAATAAAGGGTTTCTCAACCCTGTCATATGAGGAGAGGTTAAGTCGACTGGGTTTATTTCCACTGTCATACAGACGACTTAGGGGTGACTTAATACTAGCATACCGTATCCTAAGAAATGATTTTGGAGATAATTTATCTAAATTATTTCTTCCTTCTAGCACCAACCAATTGCGAGGACATCACCTCAAGGTCCAAAAACCACGGTCGAATCGTCTGCGTCTGGAAATCCGTTTTTCGCATCGAATTGTGAACCATTGGAACTCCCTACCGGAACACGTCGTATCAGCGCCATCCGTTGATTCATTCAAGGCGAGATTGGACCTCCTGTATGCAATAAATCGAAAGGATTAACACAGGCATATAGCCTACTATCCTAAATAAATTGTAAACTGTAGTATGTAAACTAGTACAGAATAACTTTCTACTACACTGTCAAAGCTTGACCTCTTCATCATTTATTACAAATTCTCTTTTCAACGAACTTAGTTTACTTCATCGGTTGGTATTTTAGGAATAATAATGTATCATAGTATTATTCCTAAAATATGAACCGGGGAAAAAGAATGATTAATTTGTAAGCAGAACTTGTAATAACGTAATAATAATGTGAAATACCACGTGTCAGGTGATCCACAACCGAAAACTTAGCAAGGAGTTTGAAATAAATACAGAAATAAAACAAGGCTGACTGCTTGTTATCACTGATGATATTCCTAATTGTGGTGAACTGGATTGTGCGTCAGAGTGTGAAAAGGGAGTGAGAAGACAGGAATACATTGGACCACCGATAAGAATATCACATCTGGATTTCACAAGTGGCTTTCATTTAATATCACACAAACTCGGAGACTTGCAGGCATAAACAAGCCAACTGGTAGAAGAGGCTGGCAGGCAACGAAGACAGGACTTTAAGTAAAAATAGAGAAGATGGAGGTGATGAAGACAGCCAACCAACAGCAACAACAAACAGTACCCATCAACATCAAAGGAAGGGATTTAACAGAGGTTGCCTCCTTCAGGTATCTAGGAGGCATCATTTCAACTACAGGCAGACGGTACGAATAAGGATGTCAAAACTAGAGTCGGAAAGGCAAGAGACACCTTCATCACCCTTAAATCGAATAGGAAATCTTCTGCATTGCACTCAGCATAAAGAACAATATTTGGATTTTTGACAGCACTGGTAAGCCAGTCACTTCTTCTATATGGGTCACAAGCCTGCACCACGTGTCACGAAAAGCATTTCCTACAGCCTATTGCAAACTTTTATCTAGGGCTTCCTTTGCTCCATACTGAGGATCGATCTGTTTACAGAAACAACTAGTAACAAGAAACTATGGGAACAAACCAACCATGAGACGACTGCTCAACAATTATGTAGGAGAAAATGGTGATAGATTGGGTACACACTTAGAAGACCACTGAATGATACCCAGGCCGACGACGATGAGTGGGTCGTCAGTGCGATGGTGACATGGAGGAAATCGTGTGAACTGGAGGAGATGAGATATTATGGGCAATCGCCGACTCAGTTGAAGAGGACAGCACCAAACAGAAAAAAGTGAAGATATATTGCTGAAGCCCTATGTTTCATTCGGAACCCTAAGGAATAATAAAAAGTGTATCATAGCGGTCTATTCCAGCATTATCCAAGGATCAGTGATTGAAAGGCATATTCATTCTAATGAAAACCTTATACAGTATTTAAAATTATAGTGGAAGGGATAAAGTAAAATGAACAAATTTTCAGAAGGTATAAGCAACACGGTCAATTTATGTTATTTTAAGACACCTTTTACACCGGAAAGCATTAGGCTTTACTTTATGGTATGTTGTAATGCAACAGTGTTACAAAAAACAGGATCAGCACCACAAGAAATTAGTAATAAGGTTCTGAGTTGTCAGAATTATATGTTAGCTGCTTATATTATCAAAAAATACTGCAATTGTAAAGTATTCTTATGCTTCGCTGTTCAAGCACTTCATCCGGGTAAAGTGGTTATATTAAGAGATATTTTGCGTTCTTAGCAGAAAACTAGGCAACGAATCCACACACATCATCTCAGAAAAACTGCGTATAACGAAACATGTAACGACTGTATTCACCAAAACATAACGCAGAACTATGCGCAGACGTGCATCATTTCAAGCTGCCTCACTTCGTAGAAGCATACATAAAAGAAGAGGATAAAAGTTTAAAGATACTACAATCACTGTGTTAGATGTGGAAAACTGAAAAAAAAATTGATGCAAAGTAGTGACGACGAAAATCTCTGTGATAAGAAGTCAATACACACCTACGCCTGTGTTAGCAGTTTTGAGCCATGTGACCAAGTGTCTCCAACTTCTGATTGCCAACACCAACAAATCAACCATGACTTTCCAAATCAAGAACAAAAATTATCGAAGATTTATGTAACAATGATCTGCCTAATTCTAGGCACTTTTCGGTTAGATACAACTTCCCATAATATTCCCTATCAAGGAAGTTAAGAGATCAGTAGGTGTAATACACACCAACAGAGATCTACTGACTTGTCCTCCTTATTTAATACTCACCACTTAATCTCATCATCAGTTATCAATCAAACCCACTTAATGTGAAGAACCCGATGAAAGAACCTGTGGTGAATTCCTATAAGCTTTTTATGTTTTCTATTTTCAGCTACCATTCTTCTTGGACATGAAGTAAGGCATTGGAGTGTTGTGTAGTGTACATGTCATTTGTTTGATTGAATATTACGCCTTTACTAAAGACGAAAGCTTGTTGAATGAGATTTCATTGGAAATCAATCTAAATTTGAAGTTGAATACTAAAAGTTATATTGAAATGGTATCACTAGTGGGGGTTAATAAAATTAGATTCATTGATAGTCACGACAATCGATTACAGCCACACTTCATCAAGTGACATTGGTTAGAATGCATTGACCAGTAGATTCAGACCCTATGCTTGAATGATCAAAGACTGACTATTTGTGAAATTCAGCACTCAAAAAGCTTAGATCAATATGTGTACATACGTCTATACTACTCAAAAAGGTATTAATTTTGATGGAATGGACTTTTACGGTTCCTTACCACAGACAGTAGCTCTAAGGGATACCTTTGCTGAAGTAATACAACACATATCTACAGTCATGTTTGTCACCAAAGTAATACTGCCTTAATGCCATAGGATTATATTAAAAAAAGGTGACCTTTTGAGATCATCAATGGTCAGGTGGTGGAATGCTCTCCAAGGACATACGTAGTCCAGGGTATGATCCTGTGCCTACGTACTCCCAAACCTCACTTAAGTGTCAATAAACTCAGTAGAAAAAGAAGGTTGGTTGTCAGACTAGCACTCTCACCCCGTTAAAATAAGACCATCATTACTAGGACTTGAAAGTTCAAGCCTAAAGTCGTAGGTTACACTTAGAAACCAAAACAAATGAAATACAATCGATCAATAATTTAAAAAAAAAACTTTTTTAAACTAACAATACACTAAATTTTGAAGAGTTTGTTTTGTAAGGGTTAGATTTGTTTATGCGAGTTTAACCGCGGTTTGATATCAGTTTGAGAACCTTTGAAAACCATGGAGTATTGGGTCCGAACCCCAGGGGGTGCGTACTGCCGATGATTCTCAAAACTAGGATGAAACAGCTGTCCAATACACCCTGGTTTTTAACGGTTGTCTAACTGATATCAATACGTGGGGAAACTCGAATAAACTAAATATCAGGTTTAAAGAAAAGAACAAATAACAAACTACTAAGGATAGTAGTACGACAAAAGGTAGACAGTGGATTGCTTACCTTACTAACTGGGCATCTTTAGCCTCTTCTTGTTTTTGTCTATTCATTACTTCTTCAATAATTCTTCTTTCTTCAGGAGTTAAATGTGATAAATCTGGTTTGTCATCCATTATGATTATGATTATTATTATTGTTATTATTACGTAATCAAAAAAGTACTAAGCATAAAAGTCATAATAATAATAATTGTCCTTTATTTAACTGAATAACTGAATGTATGCATACGCATATTATGTTGAAAATTAATTCCTTATATATACACAATTGAATATTGAATTTTCATCTTATTTGTTTAAACTGCTTCATTTATACATTATTAAATATGTGGGCTACAGTAAATTTAAATCTAGCAATTCTAAATAAGAACAGGAAAGACGAGATGCAGAAGTAGAAAGAAGAGAATTGTGATAAAGTTTGCAGTTAATAACATTATTAGTTAACAACTCTTTCATGTAGTTTCCAAATATATGACTAATAAGAATGTATTAAACCAGATATGAGTTAATATATCAACTGCTAAATGAGGCATATTTATAGTTTACATGAATCCAATAGCATGTTACAATGCAAGACAATAGGTCCATGTATTATAGATTTATGTAGATTTTGATGCTAACGTATTCTTTACAAGATAAATAAATCCATTCAAGCTAACAGTTGTCCAATAAAACCTTCAGCTTGCTGAAATATCCTTTAAACTGTTCAATATCCTCTTGTAAATGAATGAATTCTTTTACTTTTACAATGTATATTACTGTTTTATTATAATCCCAATGCATACATGCGTATATTATAAGTAATAACAATAATAAAATAGATGATCTGCTTATGCATATAAACAAAAGATATCAATTAAAACAGGCAGATTTAATTCCCATTGAACAATGAATACTGTTAAGACGTTGAATGATTATTTGTTTAAATGCTTCATTTTTTCAAAGAAATCCTTAATAACATCAATAGTCTTTAAAGAAATAAATATGTATATAATACAATAATCACAGTTTGTTCAAAGCATTAGAATATACGAAGGAATTTCATGGAAGCAGCATAATATATCAATGAAATAAATATGAAGGTTATAGAGTACGATTGATTTTTACTGTCACACACACACTCACAGATACGTACAACCCTAGTGTGTATTTGACTTTCTATTTGCCCTACCTCACTCTGCAACTTCTTTTGCTGTTATTTAACTAGTTAGCTAATTCTCTCTCTCTCTCCATGCGTATCTTCCTCTAACCTGATAGTATACTCATTCATTTATTCATTCATTCAGGATGGTAGACAGGCAAACACAAGTACATATGTATACATCATACTTACTATATTGCCAGTACTCTCTCTCTCTCTCTTCGTGCCTTAATATCAAAGTAGGGGTACTATTTAACTCCGTCCACCTACGTCATCCTATTTCGCCTATAGGAAAGAGTAGAAAGGAAGTAGGTAACCAGACAGGCGCGTAATGATAGATTGATAAGATCACATACGCACACACACACCCACACATATATATGCATACAATTTTTCCTTCGCCACCACACACACACACACACGCCCCCAACCTCAACCCCGAAAATATTTAACAAACATATCCCCACTATTTTCTGTGTGTGTATATCTAAATACATATAAAATGGTTAGTGACAATCCTCAAATCATATCCTATCCTATCCTATCCTAGTGGTTCGTTTATAAAACACAATTTTTTCATCTATAAATTTCTAAATTTCATCTGATTTTGAGAAACAGTCGTTTACAACTTTGACTATATAAATATTTCTTTTACTTTTTTGCTTACTATCTAAAATATAAATTTATAGTAAGTCAGGGTATTTTGGTGGCTAATTTCTTCTCTCTCCCCATATGAATGAAATACAATTATATTGATTATATTTTTGTAAGCATTTATTATTATTATTATTATCACGTTGACGATTCGTGTAATCAAAACATATATATATTCATTTCACTTAGTCCACTGAGAATTTGAAAAAAAAATTGATAAATTGGTTGAAAATAAGAATTAAAAAAAAATCGATTTTATTGTTAAATTATTTCATTCTGATGTAGTAGATTGCCTAGAATACATTTATTATTATTATTAGTGCTTTCGTTTTGTGTTACGGATGAAATATACGGCTTTAGTACTGGCGTGGAATCATGCTCTTATCCACGCCTCGGTGGCACAGAGGTTAGGACTCTCACCGATCATGCACATGGTCCGAAGTTCGATCCCCTGCCAACGCACACCTGATATCTATGGTCGGCCTGCAAAATTTGGGCTACCAATATCACATTCTGAAAATTCTATACCTGTACTAAAAATATGGTGTGGAATCAAGCTGTAATCAAAAAAGAAATACTAAGTTAAGAAATCCTGGAGAGAATAAAAGATGCACTGAATTCAGAATTCCGCTATAACTGGGATAAGATGGATTCAGGAAAGGTAGATCATGTGCTCATTAAACTTTATCTGTATTCGTCAACATCGAACAAAATATAGAATAGTACTCAAACCATTATCTTCTTCACCTCATAGACTTTGAAAAGGCCTTCGACAGTGTTGACCACGAAGTGATTTGGAAATCCCTTCAATACTATGGCATGCCTCCAGGTCCATCCAGATGTCACCTGTGAGGATGGATGTCCCACCTACGACAATGAGCGGGATCGCGCTAAATCACGAATTGGTAGAAGTTAGAATTCATGAGTCATTGAATCAGGTCCCAGTGGCTAAATGGTCTACGAGCTTGCTTTGTAAGCAGAAGCGCCTGAGTCCTGAACTCCGATGGATGAGTATTGTCGATGAGTCCCAAACTAGGACGAAACAGCCGTCCAGTGGTTCTCTAACTGATATCAATCCGTGATCAACTCGTAAAAACAAAACTAACCCTTACAAACCAAACTATAGAAAAATAAAGAATATAAACTGTATAGATATAAATGGCTGTTTGATCGCTTGAAAACATGTGTTGGCTTCCGTGTCTTGCCTTCTGCTGTTACAAAGTGATCAACAGAGGAAAATTCATTGAAGCGTTTGAAGCGAAGACAAGAGTAAGACAAGGCTGCCTATTATCACCTATGATATTCGTAATTGTGGTGGACTGGATTATTCGGGAGATTATGCGTTGGAAGCGAACAGATAGGAAAATGCTGGACCAATAAGAAAACTCTAAAAGATCTAAACTTTGCGGATGATTTATGTTTAGTGAAACACAAATTCGAAGACTTGCAAGCAAAAACCAAGAAACTGGCTGAAGAGGCGAACAGCAAAGACAGGACTCCAGGTGAACATAGAGAAGATGGAGGTGATGACGGAAACCAACAAACGGCAACAACAACCAGCACCAGTTACCATCAATGGGAGAGATTTGGCAGAGGTTACTTCCTTCACTCATCTAAGAAGCACGTTTTCCAACCACAGGTGGAGCAGATGAAGATGTCAGCACCAGCCAGAATCAGAAAGACAAGATACGCCTTCATCAACCTCAAACCAGTTTGGAAATCTTCTGCACTCAGCCAGCACGAAAAACAAGATTCGGATTTTCAAAACAATGTGAAGTCAGGCAATTCTTCTATACGGGTCAGAAAATTGCACTGCGTGTCACGAAAAGGATTTCCACCAGGCTGTTACAGACCCCTATCAAGAGCTCCCACCTTCCCTGGCAGGCTCCATACTGAAGACCAAATGGCCGACCGAAAAAATTAGCAGGAAGAAACTTTAGCTGAGAACAAACCAACGAAGAGTCGATCGCTCAACAAATTTGTAAGAGAAAATGAAGATGGATGGGGTATACGTTGAGGAGCCTGTCGAACGATATCGCACTCAATGCAATCCATAACCTGAATGAAATTCAAATTGGAAGCGCCGAGTCAGTCATCCAAGAGTGACATGGATATCGTGCGACGAGGAAATGAGCAATCTTAGGGACAGTTAAAAAGGATCTCAAAGAATAGGATAAAATGGAAACGTGCTGTTGAATTCCCACGTTTCATTCGGAACCCAAGGGAACATTAATAATAATATTAATATGGTTTCATTGGCACATCTTCATATCACTTTGTTTTTTGCAATCTTTTCCAAGTGGCTCAACAGCTGTTCATAAGGTTTCATTTACCCCTTATATGTTCTCTACCATGTCACGCGCAACGCGTCGCTTCCTATTCGGGGTCTTGTCGACCGCATGTTATTTCATTTCATTTGAATATCCCGTCAGCGTGTGTTCAGTCCATTTCCATTTTCTCCTGTGCCTTTGTTAGGTAATAGTTTCCTCGGTGGTCCGATGCTTGCTGGAGTTCCTTGTTACTTATCTCTTCTGACCAGAAATCTGATGTCAGATATTTGGCAAACAGACGGATCTTGATGAAAGTCTCTATCCTGTTGGAGATGCTTTCATTGAGGTGTACCAGCTCTCTGAACCATATAGAAGCATTGGCTAGCTCGATAGTCGTGAAAACTTGGGTTTTCTTTCTTGTGCTAATTTCTGAAGATCTTTACACTGATTTCTGTCTGTCTGTTACCGACATAGAACTTTGCACAAATGTGCGGCAGTTCAAGTCGCCACACTCCATGTAGCACACGAAGCAAGAGAAGAAAGTGTAAGAGAAGCATAATAGAGACAGTAAGCAGAGGAGTGAGACAAAGGAGGAGTAATAACCAAGAACAAAACAGTTTCATTGGAGATCATAAGTCACAAGGAGTGGATGCATCTGCGCCACTGAGAACGATTTTGAACCATGTCACCAGTTGTTTTGCAACCATTGGTTTTTACCGTCCCGAGGACCCCAGCCTGGAAGTCTACACCTTTCTATGTGGCTTAGACTAACTGTTGTGGACTTCATTGACTGGTGCCAAGTTTTTGTTTGACCGCCGCTAGCTAGCTCATTTCCAGCCTGACCCTATATCCGCTAACATTGCTTGTTGAGGAAGGCGATGACTTGGCATACGTAACACATGCCCTAACCATCTCAGTCTTTGTAACTTCACGGCTTCGTCGATTGATTTCCCCTGTTTACCTAGAACTCGACGCCTAACCTCACCTTACACTAACCTCGCCTTACACTGATTTAAGAGTAGTGAACTCCTGACTGGATATAGTGTCCA